AACATAGTGCCATTGTTCAGGCGTAGAGAACTTACTTACGCGTTCCACTCTGTTGCCAACATACACGTAGAACTGTCTTGTGCGATTGTTTATATATCCTAGCACTATTTTGCTGTCTGTATAAAAGTCAAAGGAGTCTATTTCAACATCTGTTTCAAGTTCTATAAGCGCAGCAATTTCCACAGCTAACATAGCTGCACAAAGTTCAAGCCTTGGAATAGTATGTGCAGGTTTTGGCGTGAGCTTGGTCTTGCCCATGAAAAATCCTACACCCACTTTACCGCTGGGATCCGTAGCTCGAATAATGGCTTCGTTGGAAGCATCGGAGAAGACATGAATTTATCTTCTGGTGGCATTTTTTAAGGATGCTTGGGTGTAAAAGCATGGTATCTGGAGTTGTTCTAATGCTCTTAGAGACTGTTTCCAGGATTCCCACCTTTGTTGTTTCTCTTTGGCTAAGGTAAGGTAAGGGGTTATCCCAGTCTGAGCTTTCAGAAGTAAGTTGTCTCAGCAGTATCTTACCCTGAATGGTGAAAGGTGTAATGAAACCTTACAGATCATAAATGCTGTTCACTGTAGACAATACTCCTCGCTTTGTGAAGGGCTTGTCACAGGCGGATGCTTGAAATGTGAATGTGTCTTGTTTAACATTCCAAAGCAATCCAAGACTGCGTTGTGTAAAAGAAAGGTCAGATCCTAGTGGAATTTCTTCACACTGACAGCATGGTGATCAGAAGGAAAGGCTATCATGACTTTGTCGCTGTTAGAGATGATTTTGTTAAGTTTGAGGTTTGCAGTGGCAAGCATGTTCTGGGTTCTAGTAAGAAGGTCAATAGCTTCTTCTTCATTGGGCAGAGATTTGAGTCCATCGTCTACATAAAAATTCCTTTCGACGAACTGTCTTGCATCAGATTCCAATTCTTTCTCACTCTCTTGAGCCGTTTTCCTCAGTCCATAAATTGCTACTACAGTAGAAGGACTGTTACTGAAAACATGTGCCTTCATTCTATAGTCTATGACTTCATCGTTGACATCATTATTGCGGTACCAACAGAACCTGAGGAAGTGTCTGTAATCTTCACGGACGATGAAACAGTGGAACATCTGCTGAATGTCAGCTATAACAGCAGTTGGCTCTTGTCTGAAGTGAAATAAAACTCCTATGAGATCGTTGTTCAGATTAGGCCCAGTGAGAAGATTGTCACTGAGGGAGACATCTTCATGACGAGCACTTGAGTCAAAGACCACCCTAATCTGATCAGGCTGGTGAGGATAGTAGACACCAAAGCATGGTATATCTCTGGTATTTTAGTAGTGAAACATTCTTTCATGTTTCAGCTGTCAGCGGGATTCCCCGCTGACAGCTGAATGTCAAAAAAATTGCGAGCATTGGCATCCACAACATCCACAAGAAAAGGTATATTCTAAGAGGCACAGTGTGTCTTTTAAGGACTTAATTTTTTGCCTGTTTTGGAAAATGCTGAATAAAAATGTATTTATTTACACAAAGTTGTCAATTAATTAGATATTTCTAACACATAGCAGAGCATATGCATACTTAGAATTATATTCCAAAACACATTCTGCTATTTCTCCCAAGTATGGCGATATCACGTGTGAGACTTTTTCACAGCCTAACCAAATAGAGAGGCATACATTATACAACTAATTTCCTGAGTGCCTATCGCATTTTAGGAGGCCCTGGAGTACCAAGACAGTATAAACACCCACAAATTGACCATATTTTGGAGCTTAATCACCCAAGATGTTAAAAGACTACATGGATTACCGTACGTGTTTCAAAATGCGGAAAAAAATGAAACATTTTTTTTTACACAAAGTTGTCAACTTATTAAGATATATTTTTTCAACTGTTATTCTGTTCACTGTATTTTAGTGCTCTCACCAATGGCTGGAAGAAATCAGACTTCAGATATCAAAAATAGATAAACTTGAGAGGGTGTTAGGGGCACACAAGAAGTCAGGTGGGATGATATTTAACCTCTGGGTTGGGTCATTGTCTTAGTCAGAAAACAGAGTTTATTTGGCTCTAATAAAATTCTGGGAGCAAGTATTAGGGCACAGAGAACCCAAAGAATGTGTCAGACTCCAGAATTCTTTTTACAATCTTCACAGGGAAAAACACTGTCATTCTTGAACGCTTGACTGTAGTGTAGATGCAACTTAAACTCCCCAGGCAGGACATCAGACTCTCCTGTGAGGTCCAAGCAAAATTCCAGTTTTGCAGGCACCTCTAGCAGCTGAAGTTCCTCCTTGGTGTCCCTTCTCAGGATCTGACCCACTGCTTCTTGGACAACTACCTCCATAAAGCAGTGCAAGCTTATGCCTCAGACTCAAGCTTTTCTCCTTACAGCATAGTACATGCTGCCTCCATAGGCAGCAGGCCCAGGAGCTCAGGATCAGTAGTATTCATCCTTCCCTGGCAAAGCCTGGGGATAAGTGGGGTACTGAAGGTCACCCCAATTTTTATGTCCTTCCCCAGCATGCATCACTGTCAATAAACCTACTAGCTGGACATTCATAACCCTGATTATTGGTACAGCTTACACCATTGCCAGGAGCAGGAAAAACAATAACCAAGATTAAACAGCTAAAGGATGCAAATGGTACTTTATTTGCAAACAACAATCATAACCATTACTTTGTCCTATACAATATTTTTTGTATATTTATTACATAAAAATTTTATTTTTAAGTCAATTATTGTTTGTTATTGTTTTCCGCATGAACATATTTTCAGACAAGAATTTGCATCGTTATAGGAAAATGCTATTACCTTAATTTGCAATGTATTGTAGGTTGTGAAGTCAAGGCACCCTGGGTCTTAAAAACACTCAAGAATCATACTCATAGCCAACCAGAAGATTCATAGAGGCAGGTAAGGACAGGCCGGGAAAATACATCTTCATGTATTTATTGCATAACTAGCAAACCCTAGATTCTTTGTCAGTAAAAATGCTAACTATGTTTTTATTATTACCAGCGAGAGAAATGAATGTTCTCTGCAAGAAATAGTAACTTCTTCAATATTTTGTTAGCACAAATAACAATGGATTTTACTGTTTTTGACAGAAGAGGAAATGGGCACTGGGATTAATAAAGCTGACAATACTTTATTGCTACTAAGAATGTCTCTGTATTATTATTATTATTTGCCATCAGCTGAAAAAATATAGCTTTGTAAACATTTTATGGAATACATATGCTTAAGGTTTTCGATTTCAACAGAGGTATAATTTATAGCTTCAAAGAGCTGCCTCCAGGGTCCTAGAAGACCTTGGGGAACATAGATTGAAAGTTGGGAGTAGCATAGAATGACTAAACAGGACAGCCTCTAGGTTCCTAGAAGACCTTAGGGAACATAGATTGAAAGTTGGGAGTAGCATAGAATGACTAAGCAGGGTAGCCTCTAGGGTCCTAGAGGACCTTGGGGAACATAGATTGAAAGTTGGGAGTAGCATAGAATGACTAAGCAGGGTAGCCTCTAGGGTCCTAGAAGACCTTGGGGAAAAATAGATTGAAAGTTAGGAATATCAAAGAATGACTACTCAAGGTTAGTCCACATTGGTCTGCCATAGCTTGTTGGGTGCTGATTCAGCTCATCAATGATGCAAGAAAAGGTTATGGCAAAAAAAACAAATAACTGATGGTAAATGTTAATAACGCTGCCTTCACACCTGAGCGAGAGTGACTTTCAGCATTTTTATTTGAGTGTTTTTGAGCACATATTTGAGGATTTTAAAACACTGTATTTCAAGCATTTTAGATGATTTTCTGATCTTGCATGTATTCCAACTTTGGGCCGTTTTGTTTTAGACAATGGAAAGCTCTAGGCTAGGGGGAGGAGACCAGTTCTAACAGGCTCAAAAGAGCCTGAAGTAAGCATAAAAAACTTGAAAAGGCTTGATTCAAGTGTTTCCGGGCATTTCCATTGAAGTCTATAAGGCCAAAAATGCCAGACTCTGCTTCACAAGCAGCTCATATAGCTTTTGACCATCAAGCATGCAGCTACAGCTCATATGTAAATGGCCACCATTTAATCAAAAGGAATTTTGTTTGTTGAGAGTTTTGAAGCTTTGTGAGCTTCAAGCTATAAAACACTCCGGTGTGAATGCCAAAGAGGATGTAATTGTTTCTGATCATTTTCTGCCAAACTCCAATAAAGGATTTGAATTGCAGTAATGTTTGCGTTTGTGCCATCGCCTAACCTTTATAGTGAAATATTGTAAGATTTCCAGCATGCTGAAAAAGTGGGTGAGGCTGTTTTTTGTTGTCCATATTTGCTCTTTTCCCATGTCCTTTCTTACATTTTGGATAGAGTAAGGCAGGGTTTTACACCTGTCAGTTCTCTTTACATCCTGTCCCAGGGCCAAAACAGGAAGTGAGAGGAAATCCCTCAAAGTTAGGGAATCCCAGGTTGTCACCAGGGTCACTGGATCTTGTAAATAAAGACCTGACAGGTGTTCTAATCCCAATCCACTCTATCCAAACCTAGAAAAAAGTTTTGCCTTTAGTTATCCACTTGTCCTCCAGAGAATTTACCCGCCTTCCTGACCAGGCCATTTTTTGCAATACGGAGCTGCTTTACTTTGACAATTGCGCGGTCAGGCAACGCTGTGCATAAATTAAATTTATGTAATTTTTTTTTTTCCCCACAACTAGAGCTTTGTTTTGATGGAATTTGATCACCTCTGCGTTTTTTGTTATTTTTTGCATTATAAACAAAAAAAAGACTGACAATTTTGGAAAAAAAAAAAACAAATATTTTTTGACTTTTTGCTATCCAATAAATAAATGTAAAAAATAATTAAATTTCTTCATAAATTTAGGCCAAAATGTTTTCTGCTACATGTCTTTGCTAATAAAAATCCCAATACATGTAAATTAATTGGTTTATGTGAAAGTTATAGCGTCTAAAAATGGTAGTATATATATACTGGAATTTTTTTTTTTTTTTTTCAAACTAGTAATGGTGGTGATCAGGAACTTATAACTGGACTGAAAGACTGCGGCAGGCATTCTGACACTGGGGGTAACTGACTAACTGCCACTGACATCTCCAGTGACACTAATACAGTGATCAGCGCTAATAAAAAGCACTGATACGGTACTAATGGCACTGGGCAGGAAGGGGTTAACATCCGGGGAGATCAAAGGGTTAATAGTGTGTTTTACTGTGTGCTGTGTGTTACTAGGGAGACATGCTGTTTTGTATCTCTTTGCTGTACAGAGAGATACAAAACAGCATGTCCATGCTGACAGGAGAGAGACCTGTGCTGTTTACACACAGACCTCTCCCCTGTCAGCTTTCCTTGATGATCGCCAAGTGCCGTCCTAGAATCGCCGTCCGGGACCTGGTGATTGACATCTGTAGCCGCCAATAGTGGTGCAGGTAGGGCGGTACGTGTCCCCTACCTGGAAATGCAAGTCACGTATATATACATGTGATTTTTCACAGCCCTGCCGCCCTGTAGCAGTAGTTTTACTATTGGGTGGAGGGAAAGTGGTTGTACTTTAAATTTAGATTAGATTATGAAATCTGTTTTGAATTACATGGCTGAAAGAACCAAATGTATCATTATTGCATGAAAAAAATACATAGTTAATAGTCAGTTAATTCAAAAAGTAGATACATGACCCAAGGCTACATAGAAATCATAATTGCAGTGTTTATCAATAGGCATTAAACTGGATGTCTGAGTGACTGAACATGAAGTAGCAGCTATTCATGTAGAAGAATGGGAGTACTGTTTTTTTTTTTTTGTTATTCAATCCTGACAGCAACATGGAGTAGAGGGGGTGCAAAGGGAAGGTGAGAGAAAGTAAGAGAAGCTGTTGCTTTGCCTTGCTTGAGCAAAGTACAGTGAGGAACAGAAGTATTTGAACACCCTGCGATTTTGCAAGTTCTCCCACTTAGAAATCATGGAGGGGTCTGAAATTCACATTGTAGGTGCATTCCCTCTCCGAGAGACAGAATTTTTTAAAAAAATTCAGGAAATCACATTGTATGATTTTTAAAGAATTTATTTGTCTTGCACTGCTGAACATAAGTATTTGAACACCTAAGAAACAGAAAGAATTCTGGCTCTCAAAGACCTGTTACTGTGCCTTTAAAAAGTCCACCTCTACTCCACTCATTAATCTAACTTAGTAGCACCTGTCTGAGCTCTTTAAAGACACCTGTCCACCCCACAGTCAGTCAGATGCCAACTACTACCATGGGCAAAACCATAGAGCTGTCAAAAGACACCAGAGACAAAATTGTGGACCTCCACAAGGCTGGAAAGGGCTACGGGGCAATTGCCAAGCAGCTTGGTGAAAATAGATCAACTGTTGGAGCAATTGTTAGAAAATGGAAGAGGCTAAAGACGACTGAAGGGCTGAAAATCACACATAGCGCTGAGTCACACAGGAGTTGCACAGGAATGCAGACCCGTGTGATTCAGGTGTGATCTATATGTCTCAGGTGCAATCCAGAAAACAAATGAATAAAATGCTTTCTACAAAGTCAAGACTACAAAATATTTCTTTCTAAAGTGACTGTGAGGAGCACTTCTAATCAGTGGCGTCCCGAGGCAGGTGCGGGGGTTTGTGGCCCACACCGGGTGACACCGGACCTGCTCCACAAAAAAGGTAAGTTGTAAAGCAAGCCGACAATCCCCACAGGATGGATCCGATCTATCCTGCAGGGATTGTCAGCTTTCTTTACAACTTACCTTTTCGTGGAGCGGGTCCGGCGTCACCCTGTATAGTTTGCATGCTGACGATCCTCGCAGGATGGATCCGATCTGTGGATTGGGGAGCATAATGGATTGGACTCCGATCCATTATGCTCAATCTGCAGATCTGATCCATTCTGCAGGGATCGTTGGAAGGGGTGTCATCAAGTGTTATCGCACCAGGTGACACCAACGCTAGAGATGCCCCTGCTTCTAATAACTGCCCATACGTGTACAACCATGGAGGATGACATAACTACATTGTAGAGAATTTGCAGGATAAGGTTACATGGAGAATTCCCACCCATATAGGGCAAAATAACAGGGTTGATTCTCTGCACCCAAAGTCACATTCGATCAGGTTGATTTCTTACTCTATAACTGTCATATTGGAGTGTCAATAGACTTTAGAGTAGCGCACCCTATTAAACCAGTGCAGAGGGAATGAGGACAACAAAACTTGCAGATATTGCTGGAACTGCTTATCTTAGTGGAGAACAATATCAGGATGAGTTTTTTTTTTATTTTTTTACTTTCCTGATGGTTCACTCAAGAGCTGTCGACCAGCAGATGCCTGCATGCCAACCTTGAAAAACACTGCCTGGCTCGTTGGTGGTCATCTTGTTTCTATAGGCTTCTGAAGCCATATTGCCTCAGACAAAGGAATGCACATTACATTTTCCTGGTACAGCCAATAGGTTGTTGCATGAAAGCCTTCTATATGTTATCTGAGTACTGAGGAGTTGAATTAAATTAAGCTACTGCTATGGTGGAATCAGTTCAAATCTGGCTGTAAGCTTTAATTGCAACAGTGTGTACTAGTGTTTATTGGCTAGGCTTAATAGGGCATTTCTAAGTACTTGCTAATCCTCATAGCTCCAGATAAGGAATGCTAAGCCAGAAGCTATTGTCACTGATCTCCATGTAAATTCTCTGCATTGAGCAATCCTTCAAGTTATAGCAAGCTGAGATGTTAAGTGTTGTTAATACCGGCAGCACCATTACTGTAAATTCTCCACTTACTTAGTTTTATATACTTTGTGGGGTAACCCATACTTCAGGAACTGTTTTTCTTTAATAATGTTTTGTCTGTGTTATAGATTTACTGCCTGTACCTATAGAGCTAATGAAGTTTTTCTGAATTGCCTCTATAGAAAGGAAACGAAATGGCTGACTGTAATCTCACGCTGATGAGCGACTTAGCCTCTTGATGATAATGAAATCAGAGTGCTGCAAAATGAGGTAATAGCTGACAAGTGGTTAATTCGCTCAGCATTAAGAGGTTAATGTCACAGTTTTTCTTGCCTCACTTACAAAGACGCTGTAGATTTTACTTTACTTTATAAAATTTCACATACTAAACCAATCAACAGCTCTGCATCTTCAATGTGCAAAATACACACTACTTGTTAACACTATGGAATTAGGTTATGTTTAATTTGCTGCATAACAGATTCCTCGCATACAGAAGTAGTCTGAAATATCTGACTGAAGCATCAGAAACATCTATGTTTCAAAAGCAAATATGTTTGATCATTTAAAAAAAAAGTAAAAAAAAAAGTTATATATATATATATATATATATTTTTTAAGCCTCTGACATACAGTGTGTGTATATATATATATATATATAGTAAGCCTCTGACATAAATTATGAACAAAACACATCCTTCTTTACTGTGTACTCATCTCTACCCAAAGCACTGAGTGCAATTTCTTTCTGCCACCTTGTTCCTCTGTTATATGTATGGGTCATTTTTTACAGGTTTTTCTGACACCAAGAGATAAAAAGGTGATGGAGGAGTGAGCTCCAGCACACAGTCTATGATTCATATACTTAGCTCTACATCATTCTGGTGTGCTGTGTGGAGGGCAGTGTGTCTCTTCCCGCTAAGCAGCTCTCAGACCTCTCCTTACAGTGTGTAACTTGTAGGCATAGGCCCCACACCGCTTAAGGGCCCCACAACAACAGATCATGATAATACTGATTTGATCTTGAAAGAAAATTGCAATGAAGGTTTCTTAAATTGTTTACAAAAGATAGGAAAATGAATCAACTCACCCCAGTGACACCAATACAGTGATCAGTGATCAGTGCTAAAAAAAAAAAGCACTGACACTGTACTAATGGCACTGGGCAGGAAGGGGTTAATGTGAGGGGTGATCAAAGGGTTAACTGTGTGCTGGGAGTGTTTTACTAGGGGACGGGGGGTGTTCTTCCCTGTAAGCACACTGATCGTGATGGCTGTACTGTGCACAGCCATCCCAAGCAGTGTGCTCGAGCTGACAGAGAGGAAGATTGTTTGTAAACAAAACAATCTCCCTCCTCATCGGAGATGCTCGATAATTACTGGCTGGGACCCGGTAATTGACATCTGTGGCGCGAATGGCAGCGTGGGTAGGGCGCGGGTAGGACACTCGCGCGAGCCCACTACCCAGAAATGCAAATATATACATGATTCTGCACACAGATGCCGCCCTGTAGCAGTATATCTGCTATAGGGTGGTTCTTAAGTGGTTAAGGACTCTGTGGAGAAAATACTGTGTTGATGGAATGTACCCAATAACAACGTAAAGTACATAAGCCATAGACATCAGGTTCATATTACAGTTTGTCTCTTAAAAGCTCATCATCTTTCAGCTGTCAGTTTGTAAAAAATGTAAGAATTCAATTTCCATGACCACAGATGCTTCTGTGCATTTACATACAAGCTTATATATGAGGGTTCTTCAAAAAGTTTCTGAACTTTTTAAAAAAATTGCAGAAACTTTTTGAAGACTCTTTGTATATATGCATACAGTATGTCCTGTGCTGGCATTTCCATTGGTGAATAAGGCTTTTTTTTCTCCATCTTGGATCCCCTAATAATTTATACTGGCCATTGAAATTAATTTACTCTCAAGTGCTAAACGTGCCTAGTGTTAACATGTGTTTAGATGCAGTTAGCTGCGTTTACACGCGTCAAGAAATGTTTCTGCCAAAACACTACTGCTCCTGGACCCACTGGCCCTGGGGGTTTTTTTCTGCGGGTAAATACTACTGCTACTAAAAGCTTCTAAAAGTCTATGTGTGCCTGGACACATAGGATAACATGGAGGGATGTTTGGAAGCAGTAAAAAAAAAATGCCTGACGCCCTTAAAAGTGGACCTTAATAATATTGCTATCTGATAACTCCTGCACTGCATCAGACCCTGATTGGCTTTTATTGGTACTACTCCCTGATATCAAAATCCTGTTCAGAGTAGTACTTGAAACTCATAATAGTACAAATTCGGGTACTTAAAAAAATAAATGTATTGATTATTTTATTTAAAGCATCTTAACTGGAATGTTTCATATACGCAGGCAGTATGTCTTTAAGCCTTTTTTAATTTGAATATCTCTTTTATATCTAATATGACTGAGTAGCTAGGTCAGTCTCTTTCTGCTATGTAAATGCGGCTTCTAATAATATATTTCTAGTCAGCAGAATTTGCATCACACAAAGATAGCTAATGAATATTTTGCATATCTGAATTAAACAGTTACTCCTGCGTCTTACAGATATTTGGTTCAAGATGCTTGGCAGTGCCAGGTACACAAACTATCACTGCCATGATAATCCACCTCTGTTCCATTGGAGTATATTATTTATAGCCCATAATATCACCTGAGTCAGGCAAACAATATCGTAGCTGCCATTCATATCAACAAATGCAAATATGCAGAGAAATTAGGTTCTCTGAACATAATGACTTGTGCTCATGTACTTTGCAGAAACTGATCGGAAAACAGGTCCAAGTAAACCAGTCTGCAAATAAGATATTGGGAAAACTGGTCGGTAGCAGGTGGAAATAGCCCTTCTCTGTTTCACACCAATTAAATAACTATTGCAGGAACTTCTTTCTAGCTACTTCGCAGTGTGACAGTCAGCCCATGAGTCTGGCATCAACACATTTACACGACAAGAAAAAGTGATAGGAACACTAGAAAATGAGAATTAATGATTATACTTGACATTTCACTCAGTTATCCACATAGGATGGAATTTGCCAAGAAGGGACAAATGATAACATATCATGCACTGTGGTCACATGAATGGGGACAGTCTGAACCAGTATGAGACAGCAGAAAGATATTATAGGAAGGAAAGCTAGTTAGAGGGAAAATATATAGAAAGTGTATGTTTTAAATGATGATCAGTGACTAAGCTTTAAAGTATGCATTAAGTGCTCATGCGCGGGGCGGCCGGTCTCCATGTCCCGGCACTAGCTCCGCACACCCCCAGCACTAAGAGCATCCCATACACAGGCACCAAGCCCCCACTGCTCTTGGGACTCACCCCGGACCTAGCCTGGACCCCGGGGCCCCGAACGAATGCTGGGACAGATAGCAGGGAGGAGCTGCTGTGGTTCCCAGCCCTCAATCCCTGCGGGCAATAGGAGATCCAAGATGGTGCCCAGCTCGGTGTCCACGGCCCCTGTCACCTCCTCTGCCTCCACCAAACCAGCACCTCTCCCTCAGAGGGCGAAATCGGGCCCTACCCTCGCTCCTGGCTGGGTCGGAACAGCGGAGGCTCCACCATCTGGGGTGAGTGATTCACCACGCCCACCCCAGTCACCTTCCAGCCCTGCACTGCCTGAGTCCCAGGCTTCGGCCTGTTCATTAGGCCCCGATTCCCCTGCTTTCTCCCCTTTGGATGGCAAGCTGGCGGCCATCTTTTTTAGCCAGAGTAGCAGCCTAGAACCTGCACCTGAATCTGGCAGCCCTGCTCATTCACCAGCAACCCTTCCGGATCCACCACAATACTCAGGTGCTACAACCCTAATAGCTCGGTTCACTGATTTACTGCAATGCGAATTGGATAGAGCTACAACAAAATTGGCAGCTCACCTTAAACAAAACTTTCAGGAATTAGACCAATGCCTGGACAATATCGAGTCTAAAGTTGATGCAACAGTCCATGGTGTATCTCAAAATTCTAATATGATTACCGATTTGTAAGATCGCTTGGAGGAAGCTTACTCTAAAATTGATGATTTGGAAAATCGGGCTTGGCGCTACAATTTCCGCATTCGAGGACTCCCTGAGTCAGTTAAGGAGCTCACTAGCTGCGCACAAACCCTCATGCGGTCTGCGGTACCCGATATCGACGATCTTCATACACAAATTGATCGTATACATAGAGCATTGATCCCCCCTAGACATGGAGGGCCTCCTAGAGAAAACATTGATAAGCCACACTATTTTCAGGTCAAGAAAGCGGTTATGAAGTAAAGTAGGGAGACTCCGGATTTGGAATTTGCGGGACATAAGATACAAATATTTGCAGATGTCTCTCCGACCACTATCCAGAAGGGGCGATCTCTTTAGCCACTACTTTCCCACTTAGTGCAAAAGGATATCAGGTATCGGTGGGCCTACCCTTTTCACCTACAATTCAATTTCAATGGAAAACCTTAGGGGTTCTCTACATTCCAGGATGGCAAAGAACTGTTACTTCAGCTGGGCATTATTTCCCATAGCCCCACATCCCATTCCCCTGCAAGGTCTACTTCTCGGCCTCAGACGCTTTCACCATTGTGGGCTGCTCCAAATTCTAGGCAGACGAAGTCACCAAGATCACTCAGAAAGACTTCTTGAGGTTAACACTTCATTTTGTGGGGGTTTTTTTGGGTGGTTTTTTGACATGTGGCGGCTTTTCAGTGGTTCCTCGGGAACGTTGGCTACCATTACTCGGGTGCTTTGGGAGGATTGTGGGGGGTGAGGGTGAGAGAGGTATTATCTTTAAGTACATATATGTATACTATAACGGGGGGTGGTTTTGTTCGGGGGGGGGGTTTTGTTTTTGTTTTTTTCTCCCTCTCCCCCGTGCCCTCAATGAGGTTGCATTAGACCCGTCTGCTAACTACGGTATGAGAGGGCTCGGTTATTCTTATATTGCACTATGTTATTAATGGGTTCTTGTTCTTGTTGGTGCCAGGGAGTGTCTATGGGCCCTCCTTGATTTGGAAGACTCTCCCCTGAGTTGTTTCTCTGGGTAGATCCATTCCTTTACAGGGCTATAGCCCTGATACTACTGGTATATTGTTTGAATTGATTATATTAGTATGCTTATTACCATTAGTTACTCGACACAAGGATTTTTATATTCCGAATGTCTTTTTTTACTTCTTTTTTTTGTTTGAACTCTCTTGTTCTTTTTTTCTTTCCTTTTTTTCAAGGGTCAGCCATCAGTATCCCTGGATTCTTTGGACTTTTCCTATGCTCCGAGAGCAGATGGTTCTCATTATATATAGTTCCTTAGTTGTTCATTATGTCTTCTCCACGGTCTAATAGTGGAGCTATTCGTTTACTATCTCACAACGTTCAGGGGCTTATTCTCCCTCCAAACGTATAAAGGCCTTTAATGTATACCGTTCTTTTGAGGCGGACATTGTTGCCCTACAGGAGACACATTTTCCCCCTTCATTCACCCTAAGATATGTTCATAAAGATTATCCTGTTTGTTATTTTGCTAATGCTACAGAGAAAAAACAGGGGATTGCCCTTTGGTTGTCTTGCCGTCTGTCGTTTGCTGAATCTAAAATTAAATGGGATAGAAAGGGGCGATATCTTCTGGTGAAAGGCCACTTAGGAGGACACCTATTCACTTTTTTAATTTACTACACTCCAAATACCAATCAGGTGGAATTTTTTCAATCCTTATTGAGCTCCATGGCCTTTGAATTTGAAGGCGATGTTATTTTGGCTGGTGACTCTAATTTAGCTTTGGATCAGATTTTGAATCGTTCTTGAACTGCCATGTTTCAGCCCCCTTCCAGACAGAGTCGTAAGTTTGCCCAGCTATTGTATCGTTATGACCTAGTCGATGCTTGGAGAGAAGCTAACCCATCTTCTCGAGATTATTCCCGTTACTCTAGGGCTCATAATTGCTACTCTCATATAGACCACATCTTCCTTTATACACACTCACTTCCCAGACTGCTTACAGCTAAAATCCTTTCCACGCCTTGGTATGATCACGACCCGATTTCTATAACACTTTAATCCTGGATTCATGGTAAGACTGCTTATAACTGGCGCCTTAACAAATCTATTTTGGTCAATGCTTCATATTGTCAGGACATTTCCTCACATCTACAAACGTACTTCGTACTCAATAAAGCAGAGGATACGAACCCAGCTATTAATTGGACAGCCCATAAGGCCTCGGTTAGGGGGTTTATTATTCAACTCTCTTCACGATTCAAAAAAGCCCGAAATTCTCTACTTTTCACTAAAACTCAAGTATATACTGACCTGGTTGCCCAGCATAAACGGAATCCCAATCCGGACCTGTTGGTTAAACTTGATCAAGCTCAATTGGAACTTATTCTATGCCTTACTACTACTGCTGACAAACAGCTACGAAGGTCCAACCATAAATTCTTCACTTGGAGGGATAGACCAGGCACTTTATTGGCACGCAAGTTAACCCCCAAACATTCCCAAATGGCTCTCCCTAAACTCAGACTAGATAATGGCACTTTATCTCAAGATCCCAGTAAAATTCTCCAAAAATTTCATTCTTTTTACAAGGATCTATATTGCTCGCCTCAGAGAGATGTTTCTTCATCTCCCGACAACTTTTTGAGCTCTGTTGCTCTTCCTTCCCTTCAGGAGGCCCATAGGGAGTCGATGGAACAACCTATCTCTTGCGAGGAGATTCGGAATGCCTTGAAAACTCTTGCCCCTCATAAATCCCCAGAACCACATGGTCTTTCTCATAACTATTATAAAGCCTTCCCTGATATCCTGATTCCAAATATGGCCCATTATTTTAATTATTTACGGGATGGGGGACTTGTGCCTCCTGATGAAAATAAGGCATTCATCACTGTTATCCCCAAACCCCATAACGATGCTACTTTAGTCTCCAATTATTGACCTATCTCATTAAATAACTGTGATCTAAAGATTCTTACTAAAATCCTGGCTTAACACCTCCACAGATTTTTGGCTCTTTATATTCACGATGATCAATCAGGATTCATCAGCGGTCGACAAACATCAGACCAAATTCGTCAGACTTTGGCTTTATTGTCAGCTGTACAATCCAATTGGGACAAATCCTCACAGAGGTAAGTCTTATTGTTATCGCTAGGTATTCATAAAGCATTTGACAGTTTATCATGGGATTATTTATTTCAGATGTTGGGTAGGTTAGGGTTTGGCCCTTGTTTCACAACATTAATACGGGCTCTATATTCTAACCCTTCAGCTCAAGTTTCCATCCGCGGATATAAATCAGCCTCCCTGTCTATAGAGCGAGGTACTAGACAGAGATGCCCACTTTCTCCCTTACTATTTGCTTTGGCAATGGAATCAGTTGCGATTGCTATCCGCTCTGATCCCACTATTTCGCGAGCATCCTCTGTGGTCAACGAGATCATAAATGTGCCTTATTTGCTGATGATGTCCTCATGTATATATCTAACCCTCGAATGTCTTTACCTGGTCTCCTCCACTTGTTTCATCGTTTCTCTGTGGCCTCTGGTCTCACTCTTAATTCCTCTAAAACAACTGCTTTAAATATCTCCTTACTTTATTGGGAGGTCCAATATCTGTGGAACAACTTAAATTTTTAGTGGGCCTCTCGTTCTCTCCCTTATTTGCGGATTCAACTCACGAACTCTATCTTGTCGTTATATTGGACCAATTATCCCCTGCTTTTCAAACAACTCAATACTGACCTATGAGACTGGGAGGATCTTCCCCTATCCTGGTTTGGTAAAATTAGCTCTATTAAGATGACCTATTTACCGAGATTGTTGTACTACTTTAGGACATTACCGATCATGGGGCCCAAACGGGAATTGTTACTATTACAAGCAGCAGTCTCTAGATTTATATGGAAAGGAAAACGACCTAGGGTTAACAAGTCAACTCTATTTTCCCTAAAAAAGCATGGCGGTTTGAGACTTCCTAATCTTTTGATTTATTTTCAGGCGGCTCAAATGGCACAGCTATCATGCACTACCGCTAGGAATTATGTTCCCCAGTGGGTTGGTATCGAGGCCTTATCTTGTCATCCTTACACTATTGGTGCTCTCATGTGGCTTCCTAGTTGATTGCGTCCTCCTATCCTATGTCCTACGTTGTCCTATTCATTAATGGTGTGGGATAGATGGCGGGCACGCAAACCTCTCTGCTCTCTACATACCCCATTAGCTCCAGTTTTTTATAACCCCGAGTTTGTTCCTGGCTTATCACCATTTGCATTTCAATGGTGGATGAATAAGGGTTTACTGCTTATTGGAGATTTCCTGGATGGACTTCGTCCTCGTTCTCTCCCAATGCTTTTTGACGAATTATCAGATGCCCTCCAGTGAATTGTTCCGCTACCATCAACTTATATATTTTATATCACTAGTAAACTTAAATTACTTGTAGAACCTTGCACACTCACTCCTCTAGGGATCTCCTGTGGGGCTACTGGGATGATGAGAGGCCGTTTGTCTATTATCTATGCTTCCTTTGTCGATCTACCTATTAAATTATCTTACATGACTCAATGGGAAAGGGATTTGAATAGCTCACTAGACCTGGACATTTGGCGGAATACGGCCCATACTCTATCAAAGATTTCGATTAATATTGCTCTTGTCGAATTCAATTATAAAACACTACTTCACTGGTATCTAGTTCCTACACACCTTGCTAAAATGTTTCCATCAGTATCACCTAACTGCTTTCAAAATTGCGGACAAGAGGGCACTATGCTCCATATCTGGTGGAAATGTCCAGTAGTGAATAGATTTTGGATCTGAATGTTTAACTTCATTTACTCGGTAACAGGAATAAACATTCGTAGATCACCGGAAGTAGCTTTATTTAATTTGCTCCGGCCGCTGACATTCCCAAGAAATCAACTAAATTAATTATTTATCTCTTATTAGCAGCACGTATTACCATAGCTAGATGTTGGAAGCTATCATCAATTCCACTAGACAGGGTTAAACAAAAACTTAATTGGATAATGATAAATGATAAACTTACGAGCATCGTCAATAATGATACTTCTAAAATTGAGGTTACGTGGGAACCATGGATCAGATATATTTCTATTATTTAATAGAGCTACGGCTGACCCTTTCTCTCTCCCTTTTTCCTTTTCTCTCTCCCTTTTTTTTCTTTTCTCTTTTCTTCTTCTTTTATTTTTAATCTTTTTTTTTGGTTTTCTTGTTGTTAAATATGTATATGAAACTGCCTATGCATACTGACTGATAGAACATTTGTTACCCTATGGGGATGGTGTTTCCTGTTTACAACATCATCGACTAATGTTTTCTTACGTGCCTATATATTTTATAAAAATATAAACATGTTTGCTCACCCCAACTCACCATGCAGGTGGGTAATGTTTCTATTTCTGTGTTGTGGGCACTCGCTTCTTTGGTAGAGCTTTTCTTTTCAAAAGCACACAGCAACTCGCTTCTTTTTAAGGGCCTTTTTGCCCAATTTTATTTACAAGAAAAAGTTCCATAAAGGTTTCCACACAGGGGTATCCATCATCAACCAAATTAAACAACATTCAGCCTTTTGGCTCTCTCAGGTACACCGCTTTATGTCTATCTCCTACAGATTCCTTCCAAAAGGTTGTTTTTGCACACAGCAAACCTCTAGCACTCTAGCTAGTCTGGCTTCCACCTCTCTTTGGTGAAGCCCACCTGACTCCAAGGCAGAGACCACCTGTCTGCCAGGGTGGAGCCCTCCTGACTCCTGTCTGCCGGGGTGGAGCCCAGAACTATGGCCTGGCCTCCACAAAAAGGCCTGCATGCACCTGTGCAATCAGCGCGCCGGCTGCTCTCAAAACATGGGCCCAGGACTGGAGACTTCCACCGTGGCAGGATACTGCACTCACAGTGTATACCAATTTTTCAATAAAAATATTAATAAGTATGCATTAAACACTAAGGACCAATAAAAGGGTTTGCGGGGACAGGGAATGGCAGTTCTTCTGGACATCTGTGACTGGGCACGATGAATATTAGAAAATATACGTGAAAGTCTCCTCTGTATAGTGCAGTCCCAATTCTAGTGTATGAGAGTCTCCATATTGAAGCATACATATACAGCAATGGATAGATTAACCCCTTCACACCTAAGGGTAAAACAATTCTAAATGCCTGAGCATAATTTTGCAATGTTGACATGTGTTAGTAAAACCGTACATATCACACCTACTTTCTACATCCAGGTGAATTATACCTTGTTTTTTCAGGACAAATTGGGCTTTCATTTGGTGGTAAATGGTAATGTGATTTTTTTTTTATTATCAAAGGAAAACTGGCCCAAAATAGTAAAAAAAAATCATTTTTTTTATTTAGCTGTGTGTTTCTTGTTACTACCATAACCTACCACCAAAGAACAACCCAAAATAAATTCTCCAGCTCTTGACGATCGTAGCAATACCATATATGTGTATGTTATTTGTTGTTTGTACCCACATTACAGCCCAGAATCAATAGTGCACATTTTGTTTTTGTCCTTTTTTTCACCTAAAACACAGACACTGACACTAACTGACACTGATACCATTTTTTTTTTTTTTTTTAATCCTGACCTTTGACCCTGATCTTGACCCAAACACTTACCGTGGCACTGAACTAGATCAAACCTTTATCTAGGTATTTTTTCTTTATTTTTTTTTTTATTTTTTAATATTAATTTATTTATGGAGCAGCACAGTGGCTAAATGGTTAGCACTTCCGCCTGGCAGTACTAGGGTCATTGGTTTGAATCCCAACCACGGCACCACCTGCCTGGAGTTTTCATGTTCTCCCTGTGCTTGCGTGGGGCCGGGCTGTACAGTGACTGATCACTGTGATAGCCCATCAGAGGCTATCACAGCAATCATGGTACCCAATTGTTAGAACGGGACCCGGTGCTCTCAGTGACACCGCGGTATTTGTGCTGGGAGTGCACCGTGTGGCACACTCCCAGCAGAAAGACAGGTATGCAAATATGCAGCCCCATGGAAAAAAGACCAGTTCTGTGAGGCCGCATATTTGTGTTATGTTGGCGTCAAGGGGTTAAAGAATAAGTTCACCTTTCCACAAAAAAATAAAAAATGCACATTTTTTTTCAGGTACAAACAATGAGAATGTATTATTTTTTGAGTTGGGAGTCTGTAAAGCATTGCACCAGCGATCAGCAGATCACTGGTGCCATGCAGGACTCCTGCAGACTGTCAGGCTATCTACTTGCTCATAAATCCCATACGGGCAAGCCGATACTTACTGACAGAAAGATTCAATTAACTACAAGCCGACAGCAGCTTAGGCTGTTGGGACTTGTCAATTCATTCACAGAACACTGTGAATGAATGATGCAGCCATATGGCATGTGTGTTGCTGGGTCTGTCTTCCCTGCTTCTTGCGGCTGTCCTCCTGGTCACCCTGACCCATGTGATCTGGGTCCCTTCTACTGCCTATCCATTCACTGCTCCCCTCGGGGGGGGCATTATATTTGTCCACAAATTAGTTATCCTTCCTATCTTCTCCATATGTATTATGTCTGTCTCCCATAAAGAATTGATGTTTTATCCTGGAATGTAAGGGGTCTGGGTGATAAAACCAAATGGGGTGCTGTCTTCCACGTACTTAAACATTTAAAACCATCTGTAGTATGTTTGCAGGAAACCCATTTGAAATCTGACATTGTCGGTACCATCTGCTCTAGTTTATTTCCCATACAATAGCATTCCTTCCACTCTACGTTTTCTAGAGGTGTGTGTATCCTCATCTCTAACTCTGTTCAATTTGTTCATGTGCAGGAGTGGATTGATGCGGAGGGCAGGTATATTTTTCTGCTGTGTACTTTGAATGGGTTTCCCTGCATAGTGGCTGCAGTATATATCCCTCCGCCCTATTCTTCAGAGGTCATTAAACGCCTAGCTCAATTTATGGCCAGTCATCCTGATGTTCCCCTATTGGCATTGGGTGGTTAAAACTATTTCTTACTCCCTAGCTTGGATAGATTGCCCTTGCGCGATAGGGGTAGACAATTATCCTGTCAGCCTACCCCATTTGCTAATTTATTGGTGGAATTAGGCCTCTGGGATGTGTGGCGGATGAAGTATCCGACAGCAAATTGTTCTTCATGTTTCTCTGCTATTCATGATGGGCTTTCATGCATAGATTTGGGCCTTGGGAACTCAATTATCCTGCCATATGTGTTTGATGCTGCATATGAACCCAGGGCTCCGTCTGACCATTCCCCTTTTTGGGTCAAGCTACAGGTGTGTTATACCCGTTCTTGTCCGCTGTGGAAGGTAAAACCATTTTGGTTGACGCTGTTCCGGAGTCCGAGTTGATTCCGGGGGAGTTGTCAGACTTTCTGCAGCGGAATGAAGGCCTGTCCCTGTCAGGAATGATTTGGGCTTGATTATCCAGGAAATTTCAGCGGTTAAGCGTAGACCCAGGGAGTAGGTGGAGAAGATACGGTCAGATGTTCAACAGCGGGAGATTCAGATGATCCAAGCCCCTGTAACTGCACCTCCTGGAAAAAAGCCCAAACCCTTTATGAATCAATGCTTTCTCAAGTGTCTGACAGGAAGAGATATTTTATGCAACAAAAATATTTCGAGGACGTGGAGAGTACGGGCACCTTCTGGCTCTTGTGACGAAGTCACAACAAGGGGTGTCCACTATAGACAAGATTGAGGATGCTGACGGAGTGATTTGCACGAGTCATGCGAAAAACCTGAGAGTTTTTCATCACTTTTATGATGATCTGTATGCTTCTAAAACTGTAGCCACCCATTCTGAGCTTTTGCAGTTTCTAGATACCTGCTCTTTTCCTGTTTTATCGGAGACCAACCAGAGAGAATTGGAGATGCCAATTACTGTTGAGGAGCTGTCTGAAACTTTGGCAGGCACCCCCAGTAATAAAGCTCCGGATTCAGGCGGATTGCCACTCTAGACTCCAACCTATCCTTCCAGCCTCATGTCCAATCGCTGGCAAATTCATGCAAGCCCGACCTCCGCAACATCTCCATAATACGTTAGTTCCTAACCCCAGACACTACTACACAACTCATTCACTCCCTTATTATCTCACGACTTGACTACTGCAACTTCCTCCTCACCGGCCTACCTCATCACAGACTATCCCCGCTTCAGTCTATCCTGAACTCAGCGGCCAGACTCATCCACCTTACCAACCGCTCCGTATCCGCCACCCCCCTCTGTCATTCCCTCCACTGGCTTCCGATTGCCCAACACATAAAATTCAAACTACTAACATTGACGTACAAAGCTATTCATAATACTGCCCCAAACTACCTCACCGACTTGATATCCAAATACCACCCAACACGTACTCTTCGCTCCTCACAAGACCTCGCTTTGGCATTAGACCCTTTGGCTTTTAGCGGCTTTATTTCCTGTACTCCCTTGTGGAACAATCCGAAATATATAGAACTGGCTAAACTGGAGGGTTTTCACAACTGGAGGGATCGTGGCCTGAAATTCATATCTCAGCTGTATTCGGGGGCAATCCTAAAGTCCTTTTCACAACTGCAAATGGAATTTACACATAAGCATTTTTATTGATATTTTCAGCTACGCCATGCGGTACAGGTTAAGTCTTTGCTCTCTAATCTACATTGACAGATTCAGTTTTTCTTAAGGATGTAACTCAAGCAACCCATAAGAAGGGCATGATTTCTCGTGTATACTCCCAGCTGTTGTCCACAGTACAGGATTAAGCTAGTCTCCGGGGAAGGGTGCAGTGGTCCCGGGATGTTTGAGAGTTTGCTGGAGATGTCTGGGATGATGTTCTGGAATCTGTCCCGGTGATTTCTCTTTCTCCCTCTCATAAATTGTCTCAATTGTTTATTCTCCATCGAGCGTATAGGACTCCTGTGCAACTGTACTGGTGGGGCAGGCGTGATTCACCTGATTTTCCGAGGTGTAGGGTCCAACAGGGCAATTTTATTCATATGAGTGGCGCTGCCCCAAGTTACATTGATATTGGAGTGAGGTTCTTTAGTTTATTTCTCTAGTATCACAACATACTGTTCCCCAGGATCCCTTGCAATGTCTGCTGGGGGCAATTGACCAAGAACTATTCCAACCAGGAGTGTATATTATGGTAACTAGACTTTTATATCTGGCTAGGAAATTGATAGCAAGGTACTGGTTATTGTCGGCTTTGCCAATTAGTAAGCAATGGATAGATTATGTTAATTCGTTACTCCTGCAGGAAAAACTCATGTACCAACATTGCAATGCTTACCGTAAGTTCCAGCAGGTATGGCAGAGTTGGCTGGATACACCTGGGTTCGCCCCTCCTCATTTGATAGCGGACTGACTTTTGCAGGTGTGATATTTTATATCAGGTGTGTGGCTCCACTCCTCCCCGTAGGGGAAATCATGTGCATCACTCATTTTGTTGTTGATGTGGTCATTTTTATGGTTTGAAGGCATGTTTTGTGCTTTGTTCCTTTCCCCCATTTATATTTACATCTGGATGGAAAGTAATAAAAGGTAAAAAGCAAGGTATTGTGAAGAACGCTTTGGATCCTAGTGATCTATGTTTTGTTTGATTACTATTTCTGTTATTCTGTCCGTTACGGGATCTGAGTATCCACAATGCTCTATTTATGTGTAATCCTGCTGATGCAGTAATATTGTGGATTCTGTAAGTACTGTTCCATTTTCTTTATTATCTTGACAATAAAAGTTGTTTGGATTTAAAAAAAATAAAGGGGCATTGACAAGGCAGGGTGACTTCCACAATGTTGATGTTTTTAACACAAATTATTAGACATTGCAATTTTTGTTTTTTTTGCTGGCTAGCTTGTAAGTGTGCTGGGAAAATATGTTTTGTTTGCTGTGTACAAAGCCCATCCACATGCACCTTATATACTATTCATAAAAAACTTTCAAGATTATTTAGGTCATTTGTCAGGCATTGTGTTTTAAATGTGAACTGATGATTCTACAATGCCTGCAGTACAAAATATATCTATGGATAACAAGTTACAAAACTGCTATGCAATGTATATGTATAGGGGTTAGTATCCAAAGACTACTGTCAATAACAGTGGTAAATCCACAAAGAGACTGCCATCTGTTAAAGTGGAAAAGCCACAGACAATGCCATCAGTCTCTGGGGTAAAGCCACACGTAATGCTATCGGTCACAATGCTATCTGGTAAAGCAACAGAGACTGCTATGAGCTAAAGTGGTAAAGCCACAGACAATCCCATCTGCCATAGGATAAAGACTAGAGATTAAATATTTCTGGAAATTTTGAAGCCATGAGAGAAAACTTTTTTCCCTGTTTTTTCCAGAAAAAAATGGAAATTTTCCAAAATATTTTAAAAAATTTCAGTGTGCAGTTTTACAAATTGAAATAAATTTTTCTGTACTGGGAACGTGAAATGCAGCATATATAAAACTATTATTCTTGAAATACAGCTTATTCAGTAAATAAACTAAACTTGATTTTTAACATTTAACTTGTATTACAAATGGAATAACGAGTGTATATGTTGAAAAATTTATTTGTTAAAACAATTTACCCTCTTACCTGTCAATTAAGGCCTGGAAGGAGGACATAAACTATTATATACTGCAGGGGTCTCCAAACGTTCCAAACAAAGGTCCAGCTTACTGTCCTTTAAACTTTAGGTGGGCTGGACCTTGGCCAGAGGGGGTAGATAATGCCCCAATGTCACTGGGAGTAAACAATATCTCAGGCTTGGTGGTCAGTGGGAGTAAACAAAAATTGCATAGACCCTATGGTCAGTAGTCATTTGTATTAGTGGGAGGAATAGTGCCCCATCACTGGTTTCAGTGGAGAGAATAGTGCCCACTATTGGAACAGTGCCTCATTACTGGTGTCGATGAAAGGAATAGTGCCCCATAGTTTGTGTCAGTAGGAGGAATAGTGCTCCACTGTTGATGTCAGTGGGACGAATAGTGCCCTGTCGTTACTGTCAGTAGCAGAAATGATGCCCCACTGTTGGTTGTGCCTCATCATTATTGTCATTATTATCAGGAAGAGGAAAAGTGCCTCAAGGGACAGATAAAGGCAAGCAAAAGGCTGCATCTGGCCCATGGGCCACAGTTTGGAGACTACTGATCTACTGTATCCCAACAATCAACCAACTGTAGGAGGTACAAGATGGAGCTTTTTCCCTGCCATACCCCCTAATGGAAGAAATGCATATTTCTCTTGTTTGAGAACTGAGTATTGAGAAATACAGTGACACTTGAATTATATTTCAGGATTTGCTTGTCTTCAGTTGAGAGAACTGCAACAATTAAAGATTTTCATAAAGTATCAGAAATATTTTATTAAGGTCTTCATATTATATAGTTTGAATACCATGTCATGGATTTATTATTTATCATTGAAGAAAAAAAAATTCCACACTCAATTTTTCTGAAAAAAAGAACCCCAAAAAAATGGCTTTGGAAAAAAAACAGAAAAAAATGTTTTTTTCCAAAATTTTCAATTTGTTTTCCAGGTCTTACCATCTCTATTAAAGACACAGAGAATGCCATTAGTCAAAATAGTAAAGCCACAGAGAATGCCATCAGTCATGTGGGTAAGTATGGCAGTGCCAGGATTTGTACAAAGTTGTTGTCAACATAGGGTTGTCACATAAAGACAGACTATCTGAAAGATAATAAAAAAGATTAGGCATTTGACTTCAGTTTAAACCGATATAACGAGTTTTAGAATGGATAGATGGTTTTTGTGGGGAAATAATTTAGGGAAAATCAACAATTGTCACTAGCACAGTGCCAGGTATGCTTCTGAATTAGGGGGATATCAAGGAAAAACCCAAGTGGTAGGTAGGTAATTGATATATATTATATCAATATATCTGGGAGGGGCATTCCAGCTTCCTCTTTAGGCCTTTGCAGCATCAGTTTATTTATAGGTCTAGTGGTACTCCATATGAGGGAGGAGAACAAAGAGTTGAGTTCCTTCCTATGTAGCCCTGGCAAAGGGAAAAAAAGATAGGGAAATGAGACCGTTGGCCAAGATCTTGGATTGTTGGTGGACAAAAAGTAGTTTAATCCATTTGTGAAAATTTGGGCCCTGGGACCAAAACAGTCAAACCAGATGTGTAACAAAAGGCCTTAGCTGTGTCTAAAGAGGCCATGTCTCTGGGAAATAGTTGAGCCACAATTTGGAGATAGAAGGTTGTTGTTGCTTAGCAATATAGGCCAGTAGTTTATTGGGAGAACTAGAATAGATATTTCTGCATCAGAGGTGATACAGAAGTAGTCACAAGGACGAGGCTTAGGAAAAAGATACAAGACATACTGTATGTCTGTGACAATCAAGCATAGCAATGCCACTGATTCTATAAAACGGAAAATGATGATTACTGTAAATATTTGACTATGGTAACAATCATGGAAGCCACACACCATAATGTAGAGTAGGCTGGTCCAGATGGAGTTAAAGCTTGGAGCTGAGTTGTTTCCTATTTTCCAAATGTGAACTGAAAGCAATCTAATAATTTAGTACAACCCTAAAATACTATGAGGGGTTTCAGTCCTCCAAGTTGGATGTGGATCCCATTGTTGTTTGCTAGTAGGCTATATAAGGTGTGACCCCTCAATGTTACTCTATAGAGGGGCCCCGGTCACATACAAGACTTAAATTTGCATTGGAAACCTCCAGTAATATAATGGCTCACTACAATTTAAATACCTTTTAAGCCACTAGTCCGAGGCAGAAGGATGATAAAATGTGCAAATGATTTGTAAGCAAGTTCAGTATTTAGGTAGGTAGGTTATGCTAGATTTATACATTCAGAGGGTTCCTGCATATCAGAGTATTTACTCTTTACATTTTGGCATTTTTGATTCAAACGGAAATATTCCCAGCAACACTTTTATTGAACTTGTATTGCGTCTTGTACAGGGTCTCCTTATACTATTGTTTATTCATGAGTGTTAGAAGCAATTTCTCTTCCAAACCTTTTATAGACACATTTGTGAATTTTAAGTCACAGGTGTTTTTCCTGCTCAGTATTTATGCTTTCATGTCCCTCAATGAATTTTACATGATTTTTTTTTTATGAATTTGATATAGTTTGGTATCTATTATTAATGTTCTGTCAGACATTGTGCAGAAATTCATTTTTAAACACTTACACTCTAAATAAAATAATAAATCAATAAATTATTACGTAAGAAACTAAGAGAAAATTGTACGGCAACATACTTCATTTTTTTTGGAAGGCAAATCTTGTCAATCTTATTTAAAAAGACAGTAATACCAAAATAAATGAGCATATCAGTTATTAATGGCAAGCCAATTGAACTTGCTTGGCTTGTGCACTTGGAATGGGATGGGATTTCAGCTCTTGTAGACCTATGTGGTTCTTATGTGAAACCCCTTGATAATTAACCACTTCAATACTGGGCACTTTCATCCCCTTCCTACCCAGGCCAATTTCTAGCTTTCAGGGCTGTTGCACTTTGATTGACAATTGCATAATCATGCAACACTGTGCCCATATAAAAAATGTTTATAATTGCTTTGGACAGATAGAACTTTCTTTGGGTGGTATTTAATCACCAAAAGGTTTTTAAATGTTTGCTAAAATAACAAAAAAAAACAAATATTTTGAAAAAAACTTTCTCAGTTTCTGTTAAAATATTTTGCAAATAAGCAATGTTTCTTCTTCATTGATGTGCACTGATGAGGCTACACTGATGAGCACTGATATGCTGCACTGATGGGCACTGATTGTGTAAATGTGTGCTGTCAGGATTGCTAGTTATTGGCTTTCCTTTCCTCACACAGTGACAGCTCTGAGGAAAGAAAATGCTGCTAACCGGCACGCTTGTTTACATGTAATCCACTGTAATTGGACACAGCTGATCACATGGTAAATAGCTGCTGTGTTTGGCCCTTGACGTCGAACTGTGATCAGCAGTGTCCAAAGGACACAGCATTCACAGAGAGCGCCTGATGCGATGGGGGCAGAGATCTGGGAGAACGTTTATAGATGCCCTCCCAGAACTAGACAACTGTATTCTAGCTGTCTTCCGGCTATCCCACATGGAAGAAAAATATATTTTAAATACTATTCCCAAATATATTGACATATATTTGAAATGCTACAATTTTGACCATATTCAATATATTTCAAAATATATTTCAATAAATATATATATATATATATATATATACTGTATATTGAAATGCCTTTTTATATGTTAAAAAAATCTGAAGAATATATTTTAAAAAACATATTTAAAAAAAACATAATTTTAACATATATTTTCACATATATTTTGTAAATGCATTCCAAAAATGTAGATTTGTATTTTTTAAAGACACACAGTATATTTGAAATGTATTTTTAAAAATATTTTTCATATATTTTGTAATAAAAACACATTTCAACATTAATGTATATATATATATATATATATATATATATATATATATATATATATATTTGAAATATATTGAATATGGACAAAATTGTAGCATTTCAAATATATATCAATATATTTGGGAAGAATATTTTTAAAATATATTTTAAATATATTTTTATTCCATATGGGATGGCGCAGTCAGGAGGTGCTTAAACAATCTCATCTATACACTATGACATTTTTCATTATTGCTTTTTTTGTATCTGGGCCTGTTCTTTGTATTTTACATTCATGATGGCTAATGGACAGGTCCAGCAAAGCAGTGCTGCAACTAGCTTTAAATTCATTTAGCATTATAAGCTACTCACTAGCAGGGGCGGACTGACAACCCGGGCAATGGGGCCCCTGTGTACTTGCTCAAACTCAAAAAAGCCTATGAAAAAGGTACCAGGGGCATCTCATGGGGCCCCCTACTGACCCCGGGCCCTCGGGCAGTGCCCGAGTTTCCAAATGGACAGTCCGCCCCTGCTCAGTAGTCATGTTTCTGTTTCTCCCACATCAGCAACAAAGCAGTATTGCTGCTCCATGAGTGTCGTTCATTGCTTTATTACAGTTTATGCTGAGTGACAGAGGTGGGTGAAAGTTAAAAGGCAACAATTAAAATGAGCCCTTGTTATGCAATTTAGCTGATATCACATTCTGACTTTATAAGCGTAAAGCTGAATTCTATATAGACACAGGAGATCAAAACACTGCTGCAGGTCGGTCCCCTGTTCTACCTCTGCTAAGACTCTATCAGGTGCTGGCACCATTCACAGCTACACATCTAAAAAACTACTTTTATTGAAGAATCTTCAATAAAATCACAGATCTACAAATACAAAAGGGGACACAGCATGCACAGCTAACGTGTTTTGTGCTAAATCAGTGCTTAGTCATAGCTCAAGGTATACATTTTATCGCATAGTTACATTGGTCCAGCTAAGTATGCATATGCCATAACTGTGGGCTGACTGTGAAAGCAAAGAATCACTATTGTAATCCCTGCTACTAGAGTAATTGCTGCTGTCTTCTTGGTCCTAAGCACAGGGGTTCATTCGCTCAGCACAGCTACCATTCACAGAATGCCTTGCATTTCTCTCAGTGAAACAAGTAATTCTCTGATTGGACGAGGTGGAGACTATTACATTGAAAGTAATGCAAGGTGTTCTGTGAATGGCACCTGCACCAAGTGAGCGATGCCCTGTATTCACCATGCAGTAGGACAGCCAAATGGCACAGAGCACAGAAGACAATGGCAATCACTGTAGCAGTGACTACTACAGCGATTCCTCACTTCCACAGTGGTCCCAGAGGTATGGTATATGCGAATGGCATATGTACATTGGTCAAGGAAGGAAAATATTTGATGCTAAATGCCTTCTCAAAATTCCCAGAGCAGCTTTGCATTCTGCATGCCCCTTTTTTGTAATTGATATATTTTATTATTAATTTTCAAATTATCATTACTTACATACAAACACCACAAACCAAACAGAATAAAATAAAGCTCAAACGTGCCTGACATTGTATCAAAATATTAACATCCGTCATTGGTATCCTTTTTTCCCTCCCATACCACGCCTCCCAACAAACATCCCCCCCATCACCTAGACAACCTAGACTCTGCAATTTTTCAACTCACTCTAGAGATCCTGATCCAGAAATATTCCTGATTCAATACTACCTTTATCTCCTGTGGCTTCTCATCTCTCTTACTTATATTCTAGATATGGTTTTGATTTTAAAATTCCTCCCATTTTTCCCACCTTATACAGAAAACCTCCATCTTATCCTTGTCCATATGGTAAAGTTCCTCCATTCTATATACCTTTCTGCATGCTCCTGAGCAAGGGGGAGGGGCACTAGGTGGGACAACTATCCAATGCAAGCTTTTCTACAGCAGTAAAACCTGAATGCACTTAATGTTGTTTTTATTAGGTGCTACAGAAAAGCAAAATGCTTCTCTGAGAACACATATAAACTGAGCCACCGTCTTTGAGTGTCTTTCTGAGTTTCGCCTGCACAGGGGGGTAGTTTTGGCACTTTTGTATAGTTTTTGAAAACCAAATAGTATAAACTGGAACCCCCTTCAATATTAATTATTAAAAAAAACTATTTTGATCTTGTATCATAGCAGGAATGAGCTACAAATTCCAGACAGCTGAAAAAATACCTGGCCTTTAAATTCCTGGCCTAGCACAACGTTTTCACTAAAGAACAATATGATCTCTAGGGAAATATCCAATTTTGGTAGTAGTAGGATATTGTTGTTTGCAAACGGAATTATAGTCAGGATTACAGTGGGTATTGGAAGGCAAACAGATAATTATACAGTTGAAAAAAATGTAAATAATTCTGTTCAACTACTCTTCTGATTCACGCTTATCTCCCACCCAGGAGGGAGCTACAACAATTCAGAGGCTGGAGCGCTTCAGCTTCCTGTGCCTCCTCCTTGCCTCCAGCTTTCAAACTGGAATTTGGACAAGCTTCACCATGCTAGTAAAGTTCCCATGTGTTTTGGATAGCTCTCCTTTCAGCTTTTTATACCTTAAAAACATTAGGATGATAGCACTGAGCAATGCAGTACAGGCTGATTGGCTGACATTATCAGCCTGGAAGAACATTCAAACTGGTCCTTTGAATGTCCAGGAGCTTGTATCTTTATACTCAATTTGTCCCATGAGCCCTAAAGCATAGGAAGTTCTGTTATTAGAATTCTGAACAAATCTCACATCCCCGTGTTTTGGTTCCCTGTAAGACCATTGGTTAGCAAGGCCATCCATCATATTTATTGACCAATAGAGAGATGAATGTACATCTGGGTGAGCTGCAGTAGGGTCTTCCAGGCTCGGACTAATATGCCCATAACACCGCTAGGTTTGGTGCTCATAGGACATTTCTGGAAGTGCAGATATCTGTGGCCAGCTGGGGGTGCCTGCTATGGAGTCAAGGGGCAGATCTGAGATGTCTGCAATTGCTCCAGGTACACTTTAAATTAGAGCATTGATTAAGAATGAGTGTAAGATTTTTTTTTTCACCCAACAGTAACTCTTTTTTATTTTATCTTTAAATAGCTGTATTACAGAAGTATTTGTTTATTTTCTGGATTTGATATTGCAGTCATTGCTGCAATAATAGTTATTACACTGCAGAATAATATATGTGGAGAAAAAGAACTATGCGCAGAAGGAACTTTTGGAAAAGTGAGTAATACAAAAATATTTGACATAATTTCATGTCCAACAACAGAAATTCAGTATTTTTCATAAAATGTATTTTCTATACTAGTAGTAGACAAATGAAGATTATGGGGCCTATTGATAAAGCAACAACAGGTCTAGTCTCCAATCATTTGCTGCATTTCACCACCAAATGTCTAATTCATTACAAATATAAAGCAGATTTGCCTGATTGCGTTACATTTGCTGCATTCAATATAAGATCTTCGAGTAATATTTGCCGTAGTTCTATACAGCCAATGCCACATAGGCCATCTCTGATAGCACTTAAACATTTGCTGTTCTAAAATAGTGTATCATTGTTATTTTTAATGAAATTGAGTTTCCTTGCCTATGGTCACAGTTGTTGCACAGTCAATGGACTGTAAATGAGGATTTTTAGCCTAAGCTCTTCATTGCAAGTTCACACATTGATGCTCTGAACCCGACACAGCAAGATGTTATAGCTAACTAAATAAAATGTTTAACTCAGGCATAGGGAAGTGTCTGGATTTGCCTTTAATAAGTGAGATTTATAAAAAATATTAAATACAAATGATTCAACTTGTAAACAGCTCACCAACAAAATATTCAGCGTATAAATATTCTGCTCTAGTCATTTCTCTGAGACCCAACATTCCCCCAATTGGGTGCCACCATCTTACCTTTTTATACTGTATAGAAAAGGTGAAATTTGTCAATCACAGCCTGCACATCAAACACACTTCAGTCTATCCTGTGACAGTCAGGTATCAATGTCCCCTGTATATGTTCTTGGCCAGGAAGAGTGAACCTCAATCTATGCACGTTGAAGTATTTACATTTTCTGAGCAAGCTGTAAAAGTATTTTGAAACCTACCCTTGCTGACTCTTGTAGCTGAAGGCATTGTGGGGAAATTCATCTTTCAATTTCACAAAACAGACACTGAAATGACAACTCTTTTCCCCTTCATTCTCCATGGAGACCAGAAACAAAATTAAATCTGCTGCTGAGAACCAAAATAAATCTAACATTAAATTCTCTGCTGTGATGTTTCAGAATGAAATACTTTATAGTACATGCAGCTAAAGAAGTCAGGGATGGCTTGTTTTAAAACAAACTGA